GTGCATCCCTGGCGGTGCAGGGGCGCGGTCCCCTGCCTCCACGGGCTGACGTGGGACGGTGCCGGCTCCTCTAGCAGCTCCCTCCCGTGCACAGGAAGATCCCCACGGCCATGCCCAGCAAGGCGAAGGTCCCCAGGATCAGGCCCAGCACCAGCGGGGCGTGCGACCTTGTAAGAGGCGAGAGGGATGGAGGTGACAACTGGGGTCACCACCACCGTTGCCACCATGTCGTCCGTGTCCCACCCCAAGCCCCGGCACGGACCCGTCTCGGCGCTCTGAGCCCGCAGGATGCCGACGCAGGTGGTGTTGAGGAAATGCTGGAGGTCCCGGGTGGTCTTGGGGTACTTCATCAGCTCCCTCTCGGCGAAGGTGGCCACCGCGTCCGGGCCGGGCCAGCGCCGCTCCCAGGTGGCATTGGGGACGTGGAAGCTGAGGAAAGCCGTCCCGTTGAGGGTCACCTCGTAGAAGCTGTGAGTCGTGCCGTTGGGGAAGAGCTGGCAGCCCAGGCGGCAGCACAGGCTCTGGGTGTCTGTGGGGACAGAGGGAAGGGGGTCAGCACGCTCCCACCCTCGGCAGCCCATCGCTGTCACCAGCGTCAAGCTGTGCACTGAGTTTGCAAGGCCTCAGCCTTGCGCCACCTGACCCACCCACAGCTTTGTTTTCGCTTGGTTTAGCTGCAGCCGCGACTTTTCCAACAGCCGGGTGGCCATGCTTATTTTTCCCTTCCTTATCTGCGTACAGCACGGCTTCGGTTTTATAGAGACGGGAGGCTTTTCGGCGCAGAGCGAGCTATTCGTCGCTCTCGCAGAAGGACGCGGCACGGGCAGCGTGGGGCGAGGGGAGGTGTGGGGCTCACGCCAGAGACCCCGAGGTGAGAAAGTGCTCCCCAAGGGCTGGGGAAGGAAACGCAGAGCTGGGGCAAAACTGGCTTGGGGGTAACAAAGAGAACGGAGGTAAAACCTCCCCTGGACAGGAACAGCGGAGGTAACGCGGGCTTGCGGAGCAACGCGGGAACACGAAGCCATCGCCACCAGCGTCCCACGCCTCCCACGAAGGCTGCGGGGTGCAGGCGGAGTGCAAGGGGCATGCAGGTGGGGTGCAGGCAGGATGCAGGCAGGGTGCCTACACCTCACCATCCCCTCGGGCTGCAGCCCCCAGCCCTTTTCCCGAGGGGCAGCGGGAGCATCACCCTGTTCCCAGGGTGGGCTCCAGGTAAGAAATACCCGGCTCCGCGGAAGGGCTCCTTTTGTCCAGAGCAAGGTTTTGCCTGTGGCCGTGTCCCCATCCCTTTGCCCCGTTGTCCCCGGAGAGCCATCCCCGTGCCCAGGCAGTGCAGGGGGGCTCCTGTCCCCCCACCGGGCCGTACATCCCTGTGCCCCGCTGGGGTACCACTCACAGTTGATGGGCCTCTCCTTGCTGAAGAGCCTCACCAGTTGGCCGAAGTAGAGCAGGTAGGTGGTCACGCCCTGCTGCCGCCTGGCCCAGGCCTCGGGGGGCTCCAGCGGCAGCACCTGGGTGACATTAAGCCCCTCCAGGAGGTGGCTGAGCCGCCCATCCAGGCTGGCGTTCCCCCAGAAGACGGAGCTGCCTTTGGAGACGCGGGTCTGTTGCAGCATGGTGAAGGTGAGCGGGGCTGCAAGAGACGCCGGGACATCACCCACCGCCCTGTCCCCTCCCCGTAAGCCCCCGCCACGCCGACCCCAAGTCTCTCCGACCCCACCGCTGCCACCGTGCCCTTGCTTTACCTGCCTGGTCTGCCCCGCAGCCCAGGGCCCCCCAGAGCAGCAGCAACCGGAGCATGGCG